CGAACCTATGACACATGTGTCAGAGGTGACGCGCGAACTCATTTTTTTGGTTGATTTTTCTTTGTTAAATGGCATTTAAATATATAAAATAAATATCAAAAATATAAATCTTTGTTTTACTATGGTTGCAAATATCAAAAAATTTCTATATGTGACACGGCACCAGAGTTAAGTTAGGATTTTTCAAAATGCTGACACGCCGAGCTCAAAAGGTTCGCCATCACTGGCCTAGTCTGACACCACCGCCACCCAGTCTTGGTGATGCTTTCTGTGGGCAGGCAGCAGGTGCCGCCCCAAGGCTGGGCAGGGGAGGGTTGCTTTAGAGGGGGCATCTCTGCTCCTCAGGGGTCTGTTTAAGGGAGCAGAGCTCAGACCCCCAGGGGGCCTCAGCTGATGTCTCTTCAGCCTGGTTTACTGGAGCTCTGCTGGCCACCTCTCACTTGCCTGGCACACTTTCTAAGGAACCCTCCCTCCAGATTCACACACTCCAAAAGCCTGGCCAAGGCCTTTCTTCTCAGGCCCCCTCTGCTCCTCTGTCCAGTGGGTATCACCCTGTGGCCTGTGAGGCAGAATCAAATGCCAGGGAAGGGCCGGGGCGGAGGGGCCAGGTCAGCTCTGCGGGCCGGGGGACCCTCATTGTCTTTGGTTTCCCCGTCTATACGTTCACATCAGTCTCTCAAGGCCCATCTCTTGGAGATAGTTTGGCTTGCTGGGTTTTATTTTTCCCCTTTAACAAAGTCGTTATCAAACAATTTACACACAATTGTAGAACAGTTAGAAAATGCATTCCTGTTCCTGGTAGTGCCACCCCTCAGGCTATGTTCCCTCCACGCCTCCTTTGCTGGAACACACTCTTGTGCACGCATGTGGATGTGTAACATACATATTTGTCCTCTGTGTCCTGGGCGCTCCAACCAGTCAGCCCGACTCTGGTCAGCTCGATGCCAGCCTTACCCACTGCCCCAGACTGGCTGGAGCAGGTTTCCATCGCCCTGAGGAGGTGCCCTGCTCTGGCCTAGCCTAGCACCACCTCTTCTCTCTGGTGCTGGTCTATGCCAGGGTGAGGAGCCTTTTCCCCCCGGGACTGGAATCCAGTATTGCCAAGCCTCCCCTGTTTTGAAAACGGGAAGCTGACCCAAGCAGCTGGGACAGGAGGGAAGGCAGCAGTTCAGGGTCTGTACCACCCTCATTGCATAGAAGGGGGTGGTCCTCCAGGTCAGCCTAGGACCAGCCTGCAGGGGGCTGGGTGGATAGACTCTGATCAAGCACAGGTACCTGTGCTGTCTTCACCTCTCTGTTTTCTCTGTCCTCATGAGTGTGCTGTGTGTGCTGCCCCTGGCCCATTTATTTCTCCACTTCTGCCCCCTTTCTCCCTTCATCTCCTCTTTCTGACATGGCACACTGGGAAGAAGGTGGCAGGCCTGGATTCAAGTCCTCCTTCCACCATTTCCTGTCTATGTGATCTGAGGCAAATCACTTAGCCTCACTGAGCCTGTCTTTTCATCAGTAAAATACCCATCCTCTGGACCTGCACAGGGATAGAAGATGCAAATGCCATTACACGGCCTCAGAAAATGACAGTCCTTTATAAGTGGGGGCTCTGATATTGGCACCCAGACGCTTTGACTCCAAGTCCAGTGCTCTCTGCTTCATTGGGCTGCCTTCACTTTAGGTTAGAGAAGCAGCAGCATAGAGACTCAGAGCCCTGGCTGGCCTCTGCTGGCTCCAAGGAGATGGTCCCCACGGAGCCCTGTGCGGGGTCCAGCCCCTGCCACCTCCATGGCCCTGCAGAGCAGTGATGAGGCTGAGCCAGTGGTCTTCCTCTGGGGCCTGTGAGCCTGGGCCTATTTGCATGGGGCTATAAATAGTTGGCACACCTTGCTTTTGTGCCGTTATTTTACCTCCTGGCCTTCCCACCAGTGTTCAGACGCCCTGTGAGGTAGGTGGGTGACCCTGGCTCCACTGTGCAGTGGGGGACTGGTGTGTAGGGCCCCAGTGCCCCTCAGCATCACACAGCGATGGAAGGAGATACCGGCTCATGGGGTCTCTCTCCCTCCTGGGGTCCGGGCAGTAAAGTTGGGGTAGAGGAGGTGGTAGAGCCTGGCAGGACCCATGCTCTGGTTTTAGACCTAGGAAGTTTGGGCGAGGTGACCTAAGCATAGGGTTACTGCCAAAGAGGCCCAGGAGGTCTCCCTCCATGTGGCACTGTGGCCTGGTGGTACAGGTTTGGGGCCAGGGCCCACTGTGGTTGTGGTTTTCCCCTGGTGGCTTCTAGCTAACTGTGAGCCAGCAGCTGCTCTGAGTGTGGCTGCAGAGAGCTAGAGGCTCAGCCCGGGCTCTGACACCCCCATTCTCTCCTCCGTGTAACTGGGTGGTCTCCGTGGACAGCTCCTGGCGGGCCACCTGGAGGCCCGGGAGTCGTGGAGTCTGTGGGCCATCTGGGCTCAGCCCCACGGGGAGGCAGTGGGAGGAGGAGCCGCCAGCAGGTGTTTGGCACACTCCCTGCTTCAGGGCGAGCAGCTCCGTGTTCCTGGAGACTTGGCTGCCCTGACTGAGAAGTGGGCTCAGTTATCAGGACTGTCTTCCCAGGCTGGCGGGTGGGTGGAATAGACGCGGTGGGGGATGTGAGTGCTTCATGCACTGAGAAGGGAGGTGCACGGGTGAGAAATGGGTGCTGCAGGCAAGAAGTAGTGGTAGCATTAAAAAGACCCCCACCTGAGGCCCGTGGGGTTGATGTTGGCTCTTGTCCTACACAAGTTCTTGTCAGGACGGCCCTGCACTAAGGGACCCTCCTCATCTGGGAACGGGGCTGAGCCTCAAGGTGGCCAAGAACCCTGCATGGAGTCCCACAGCCAGGGCAGCAGTGGTGTTAGGGTGTTGCCACCAGGCAGCTTGACCATTATTTTGCCCCAGGGCCTGCCCTGGCCTCCTCTCCCCCAGGAGCCAAACCCCTTTGTCCCTGCCCACCTCCTACTCAACCCTCATTCCCTGAGTCACTCAGAAAGTCCAGTGTTGCCCCAGCTGGGTCTCCAGGTTATTACTCCAGTTGTATTGTCCCAGCTGGGTCTCCAGGTTATTGCTCCAGTTGTATTGTCCCAGCTGGGTCTCCAGGTTATTGCCCCAGCTAGTCCTCGAGGTTGTCTTGTGAGGAAGCATGAGGCTGAGCCATGTCTGGTGGGCTCAGACCCAGGGAAGTGGGTGCAGACATGTAGCAGTGTATGCTGTGCAGGGAGGGGCCCTACTGGTTATTCTGGACTCTCAGGGAGCACTCACCTGGCTGCTCCACGCATTGGACGCTGGGCCAGGCAAGGTGGCAGGAGGGGCATGATGTCCTTTCTGCCTGGGGGTTTGGGACCCTCACCCAGACTCCTACACCCACTCCCAGCCAGACCCATGCAGCTCACTCTTTACATCAACATTACCTGAGTGCCCACCACCTGCCACCCACTCCACGTCCTCGCAGGCACACACATCTCCACAGCTGTGCAGCCACACCACACGCACCCTCACACACACTAACTCGCACACTCATGCGTGCTCAGCCCACAGCTGGCTCTCTTCCCTTCTACTGGGAGGTCATGGTGGCTGGCCTGGCTGGACTCAGGATGAATGAAGGCTTTGGGGCCTGGGCTCAGATGTGAGTTCACACCCCCCCTCTCACTTCCTCTGAGTAGGAGCCAGGCCCAAGCAGGGGACATGATGGCGTCTGCTCTTTACCCCCACCCCCATCCCCACCCCCACCCCGCCAGCCCCTCCTCTCTGCACTGGCTGCTGGCCTCAGAGGACTGGCCAGGCTATTGGGCTGGGCTTCAGGCTGAGGTCAGTGTTTCCTGTGAGCTCATCTGGCTGGGAGCTTCCAGCAGACCCGCTGCTGCTCTGGCTGCCTATGGAAGAGCCAAGGGAGCTATCCCTGGGCAGGGTGGCTGCTGCATGTGTGAACATACATGTGCATGGGTAGGGGTCAGTGTCTGAGTCCGCCACTCTGCGACCTGAGTTCAGGATGGAGTAGGAGTACATATATGTATGTGCACATACATGAGTGAGTGTTCCTTCAACCAGGGCTAGGGAGCACCCTCCTATGTGGTGCCTAAACCCCGAGCCAGTGTCCAAGTAGGTGTATGAGTGTGAAAGCGTGGGTTGCGCATGTGAGCATCCCTCATGACAGCCCGGAAGACCCTCAGGGTCATCTCCTGAAGTGACCCTTGATTTGAGGAATGTGAGGAATGGAGGAGCGTGGGGCCAACTTGTGTGGTTTACAAAGCAAACTCAGCATTACATTGAACATTAAAATAGTTTTATATTTAGGAGATAATTTGTTTGAAAGTGCAGGCAAACTTCCGGGAAGGCAAGAGGCCCCTGACCCCCAGGGGCTCCGGTTCAGAAGGGTCAGGCACAGTGCTGTGGGCGGGGCCTTTCACTGCCCCGGCCTCTGAACAAAGTGGGCGCTTCATCAGTGGAACTCCAACTTTAGGTTCTGGCTTGGCCTCACAGTGACTGTTTCCCCATTTGAAAAGTGGATGTGGTCGTTTTGGCGCTGCTTGTCTTCCTGGGTATTTAGGAGCAAAAAAATTTGAAAACCAAGAAGAGCTGTGTGGCAGGGCGTGGGAGGAAGGGGCACTGTCCTTCACATCTTGGCCAGCACATGCTGGGTACCAGGCACATAGTAGTAGATGTGTTCAGCTGGGTATTAAAGGAGGCATTGAATGACTTTACAAATGGTTTTGGAGAGGCAGGTAAGGAGGTCCCCGCCTGGAGTGGGGGTCCCAACCAAGGGGGCTGTGCCAGCAGCTTTTGCCTGCTGTCCCACTTCTAGTTTTACCAGGGATGTCACAAATCTTGACTTCCATAAAACTTCTCAACTTTAACGTTTTAAGTGCCATGTGGACCACACTCAATGCTGTGAGAGCTCTGGGGGGAGTGGATATCTGACCAGGGCTGTTCCTGCTGGCTCTGCCCTACTGGCCTGCCTCACCCATTCTTTCTACACAACCCCATCACAGGTCCCAGCATGGCACCGTTCCTGCGCATCGCCTTCAACACCTATGAGCTGGGCTCCCTGCCGGCCGCGGACGAGGCAAGCCAGCCCTTCTGTGCTGTGAAGATGAAGGAGGCACTCAGCACAGGTAGGGCTGGAGGCTGGACCCTGGAGAGGTGCAGCAGCCAGTGGAGCTGGGAGTCTGGGCCTAGTGGGAGGCAATGGCGAGGCCCAGCCTTGTGCCCCCAGAACCTCTGAGGGATCCTTCCTCATTCTCATCTCCCTGCCCAGCCCAGCTATGGATGCAGGACAGCGGAGGCCACCAAGTACCTGTTGGGCCTCCGGCACTGGCTGCATGGAGCCCTCATTGGGCTCGAGGCTCTGGCTCCTCCTCACCCAACAGTTTCCACATGTCCATGTGCCAGGCCCTGTGCTGGGCACCGAGGACATCACAGGGCTCCAGGGATGGCCTAGCTCTGCCCTCGTGGGGCTTTCCTTCAGGTGCGGGAGCCAGACGATGAGTCCTGTGAAAGGGAAGCTGAGAGTAGGCACAGTCCCAGGCTGGAGTCGGGGACGTGGTCCTGGGAGAGAAGACCATTCCTTCTTGCGTCTGCCTTCATCTGGTGAGCCGTGGCTCATCGTTTAGGTCTCAGCTGAACTGTCTCTTCTTCCAGAAGCCTTCCCACCCCTTAGGCCGGGGCAGGCCCCCTACACGGGCGGGTCTGGAACCGGCCTTACCCACTCCAATTCCATGACAGCTATGATTTAACATTTACTAGAGGCATGAGCTGGCCCATGTCTCTGCCTGCGACTGAGGCGCCAGGAGGGCAGGCACCAGGTGTAACTTTTCGTTCTGCCATGTTCCTTGCCTCCAATATAGTGGCTGGCATGTGGCAGCTCTCAGCATGTGTTCACTGAGTAAGTGCGTAGGGAAGGGGACATCTAGGTAGGACTGGAGGACGAGGGTCCCAGGAAGAGGGAACAGCAGGAAGCAAAGGCCTGGCGATGGGACCTGGCAGGACGCCCAGGAGGAGCTGCCAGAGTTCTGTGTTCTGGCGTGTGTTGTGAGAGGAGGAGGCTGGTGAGGTGAGCAGAGCACAGTCGTGCAGGCTGAGCAATGGGACTCAGTCCCAAGGACACTGGGCAGCCACGTGGGCCATCGGGAGAGAGCCAGGCGGATTCTATCGGGCTGAAGAGTCCGGCAAGTCTGGGACGGGAGGGACCGCGGGGCCCCTGCCTGAGGTGACTGCGTGGCCCCACTGCAGAGCGCGGGAAGACGCTGGTGCAGAAGAAGCCCACCATGTACCCCGAGTGGAAGTCCACGTTCGACGCCCACATCTACGAGGGCCGCGTCATCCAGATCGTGCTGATGCGGGCAGCTGAGGATCCCATTTCCGAGGTGACAGTGGGCGTGTCCGTGCTGGCCGAGCGCTGCAAGAAGAACAATGGCAAGGCCGAGTTCTGGGTGAGGGGCGCGTGAGCTGCGGTCCTGTATGCATGCGTGTGTGTATGTGTGCGTGCATGCGTGGGCACACGGGGAGTGAGCATGGCTGCTGGGTGCAGCTTTGCAGCCAAAACAGCTGAGTTCGAATCCCAGCACTGCAATTTACCAAATCCTGGCTTTTCTGTAAAAAGGAGCTGCTAAAAGACCCTACCTCAGTGTTGGTGGCTCAGATGAAACGAGCAGCTGGATGTAAAGGGCTGATTGCAGAGCCGGCACAGGGTGGGTGCTGACGCGAGCCAGCCTTGTTATTGAAACGACCTTTTTCCCTTTTGATTTTGTGAAGGTAGGATGTGCCCATAGTAAAGTATGCCATCTGAAGGTAAAAGTGAGTCTGGCCCTAACCCCGGCACCAGGCTCCCTTCTCAGAGGCACCCGTTGTTCCCAGTGCTGTTTGGAATCTTTGCAGATATTCCAGGCCCAGGCAGGCCCTCGGGAACAGCAGTTACGGTCTTCAACAGCGAGAAGGGGAAGGCTGAGGGTCCACCGCTCACCTGCCAAACCAGGACTCTGCACACACATGTGGCCCTTGTGGCCACCGGTGCCAGCATTGGCAGAGAAGCTCCGCCCCCCAGGGTCACATGTGGTCCCCTGCCGCCAAGATGTCCCCGCTAGAAAAAGACCTGTGACCATCAGCCTCCAGGAAGGGCTGAAGGCATTGGGCCAAGCAAGTTGACTCAGGGCTGCACTGACCCTTGGCCAGTCAGGCAGCGGCACTTAATGAGCTCTCTGTCCACTACCCCAAGGGACAATGTCAGTCACCAGGCCTGGGTTCTGGGGAGGGGAGGGTCCTGCCCTTAGAACCAGCCAGTCTGTTGAGGAGACGGACATGCAGAAGCCCTGACAGACAGAAAGCCAGCACGTGTGAAAGTGGGCGAGTGTCGGTGCCTCTGCTTGTGCTAGGGGACGTGGGCTTGGGTTCTCATATCCTTGTGAAGGGGCAGTGGTGTTGAGGGTGGGGAGTTTCCCTTCCCACTCTGTTCCCAGGCCAGGCGGCCAGGCTGGGTGTGGGGTGGATCCTTTCACTTCCCCAAATGTAATAATACCCCTGAGTCGGGGTGGGGGCGGGGCTCAGGGGCGGGGCCTGTCCCTGCCCACACCAGGCAGACAGGTGCCCTGCTAGGCGGCCAGGACTCCCTTGGCCTTGGGGGACCAACCATGGGGGCGGGTTCTGAGTCGGGCTGGGCCCGGGCCCGCCCGCCCTCATTGATCCCCCACCCCCACCCCCACCCCCACCCTCACCCCTGCAGCTGGACCTGCAACCCCAGGCCAAGGTGTTGATGTCTGTGCAGTATTTCCTGGAAGACGGAGGTAAGACCTGCCCTACCTGGGCTGGGGATGTAGGTTCAGAGGCCAGAGCCAGGACAGAGGTGTAGAGAAGCAGCCCCCACCACCGATCTGTCCATGGCCACCTGGGAGGGACTGCGGGTTGTCCCCTGTGGCTGTGGCTGACCTCACCATTCCATGGCCCCCAGATTGCAAGCAGTCTCTGCGGGGTGAAGACGAATCCACATTCCCAACAATGAACCGCCGTGGAGCCATTAAACAGGCCAAGATCCACTACATCAAGAACCACGAGTTCATCGCCACCTTCTTCGGGCAGCCTACCTTCTGTTCTGTGTGCAAAGAATTTGTTTGGTGAGGGCTGGCTGTGCCCACCAGGGGGCTGGAGGAAGGGAGGGCCACACCCAGAACCCCCCCTTCTCACCCTGCCTGGGGATTTGCCTTTCAGGGGTCTCAACAAGCAAGGCTACAAATGTAGGCGTAAGTGTCTCCACAATCTGGTTTGTATGTACACGTGTGTGCATGTGTGCCTGGCAGTGCCTGGGTGTGGTCACAGGAGAGCCTGTGTCTCCAGTGTGTGCACGTGGGAACGATAGCTCTGTTCAGTGAGTGCAGGAGTTGGCTTGCTCCAGTTCAGGAAGCCCATTCTGCGTAGCTCTTCCTAACTCTTTGCACTCAGTGACATCACATTGGTAGCCTGAAATAGGTCACAGTGGAGAATTCACAGAGAAGCCAGCCCCTGCTGCGCATCCGGCCCCTTTTCCCCCAGAGAGGCTGGCAGGCCTTGACCAGCACGCCCCTGGCTGCACGTGTGCTTCTGTTAGATGTGTGTGCATCTCGGTGCCCACCAGTGAGCACACCTTTCTCCACGAGGGTGCATACACCAGGCAGTGCGGGCTGGTCGTTAGGAACAGGCTCTGGAGCCAGACTGCCTGGGTTTGAATCTGGCTGTACCATTTCCTAGCTGTAGGGCCTTAGGCAAAGTTACCTAACCTCTCTGTGCCTCATTTTCTCATCTATAAAATAGAGATAATAATGCCATTGTGGAGATCAAGAGGGATAAAATATGTAGAGCTGTGTTTTAAGTGTGGTTGGCACACGGTAAGCATTCTATGTAAGAAGCCTTGTCATGATTGCACATGCTGTGTGTATATGTCTGTCTGAGTTAGGGTGCATCTGTCCGTGTACGCATGTGCACGAGAGAGTGCTTAGGAGCTATTTGCTGTCCTGGCGCATAGGAGAGGGAATGGGGGCAACCCCCCATGCCCCTCACTTCTGCCCCCCTCCCTGCCCATCGGGACCCCTTAACCCTTTCCTAAACTCTGAGACCCACGAGATCGGCCATCCTCCTGCCCCATCCGTCTCAGCCCCTCCTTCGAGGGCTGGCAGGAGGAGAAAAAAAACGAGCTCTGGGCCGAGGCCTCTGTGGGGTGAGGGTGTGGGCGGTTGGGAGAACAGTGGCTTTGTGTAGGGGGCTGGACTGGGCCTGCTCACAGACTCTGCCCTTCCCGGTGCCTTCCCATCCCCCGCCTGGGCCTGCGCCTTCTCAAGAATGCAACGCCGCCATCCACAAGAAATGCATCGACAAGATCATCGGCCGGTGCACCGGCACCGCGACCAATAGCCGGGACACTATAGTGAGGCTGGGTCCAGGGCAGAGGTCCGGGGGTCTGGGGGGCTTGGCCTGGTGGGAAGGGTTTGGGTTCTCCCTCTCTCTTCCCTGTGGGGCTCACCCATCCCCCATTTTTCTTGTTCCTTCCTTGGATCTCAGGGTTGCCCAGTCCCCAGTGGAGTCCTATTGGCATCTTGCCATGCATGGGGTTGGGGGAGAGCTAGGGGTTGAGGAAGGGGCTGGAGCTGCCCTGTGACCCTTGACCTGTGATCCCTCTACTCCAGTTCCAGAAAGAACGGTTCAACATCGACATGCCGCACCGGTTCAAGGTTTACAACTACATGAGCCCCACCTTCTGTGACCACTGTGGCAGCCTGCTGTGGGGGCTGGTGAAGCAGGGGTTAAAGTGTGAAGGTGCGTGCCACCAGCTCTTGGGCTGCTGGGTGGGGGGGAGTGGGGAGGGAGAAATAGGAGATACTCCCAGCTGTGCCTACTCACTGGACCCCATAAACTCCACTTAACTGCTGCTGCCTTTGCCCTCTCACTGGGGGATTTCACATGGGGAGGCTTTGGGGAGCCCTCCCCCCTGGCCCGACCGGCTCTACCATTACCTGCTATGTGACCCCTGGACAGGAGGCCCCACCTCTGTGAGCTCTGCAAACGCAGGTGTTACATAGAGTCAGACCCAGAGTCACTGCTGCAGAGAGCGGCTGCTCCCCAAACGCAGAGGAGAAACGGGAGATCCCTGCGGGAAAGGGGACTTGTCCAGGTCGGCCCCCACATTCTTTGAAGGGTCAGAATTAGGTCCCATATCTTTGATTTTTTTTTTCTTTAAATAATGAACGATTTGAAGTGGCTTTAGATACATTTTCTTCTAAAGACAGGAAACCCAGCAGCCCCCACCAAAGCCCTCCCCCGCCCCCCCCATCCTCTCCTCCACGCCTCCCTGCCCTTGGCTGGGCCCGCTGGCTGCCCTGCCTGGACAGGGGCCTGATGGGCCTGCTTCTCCCTCGCCCCAGACTGTGGCATGAACGTGCACCATAAGTGCCAGAAGAAGGTTGCCAACCTCTGTGGCATCAACCAGAAGCTCTTGGCTGAAGCGTTGAACCAAGTCAGCCAGGTGGGCAGCGCCGTGGGGACCCAGGACAGAGGGCCGTGGGGTTGGGGATCAGGGCTCACACCCTCTCCTGGGGAGCCACAGTGGGGGGCTTGATACCCAAGACTCCGCTTCTGGAAGGTCCAGCTCCAGGATTAGGCAGCAGAGGGAGGTGGCTTACCCCCTTAGAAATCAGTTATTCCAGCAGTTCTGTGCTTGAGCGTGAACCTGGGGGGGGGGAGGGAGGGGGTGCAAGGTTGAAGCACTTGAAACAAAGCCGTGGTGTGTGTATGTTTTTTGCGCGTGGTGGGCGTGGTGGGGCCCAAGGGATGCCACAGAACTTTAAGGTAAAACTCTAGAATCAATCACAAGTGGAGGCAACACAAACATCTATTGAGTAACGGGTTGGGAAGGTGGTATCCAGTTTACAAAATTTTTGTTTGTAATTACGGCCTTCCAGACCACCCAGGCGTCTCTGTGCCGCGGGGAGAGTGTGTGTGAGTGTGTGTGTACTGCTTGGGGGTCCCGCATTGGTATGGCCAACTGTCTGGCCCATCAACTGTCACCCCTTTTCCAGAAAACCCCTCGGAAGCCAGAGACAGAGTCTGCAGAGCCTTTTGGGATCTACCAGAATTTTGAGAAAAAACTAGAGCTCATGGGAAATTTTTCCCTAGGTAAAGGGCCTGTTTCCCCAGGAAAGTCCCTACTTCCCACTAGGGCCCAGGATGGGGCCCGGCCTCCCTCCCAACACCCTGGGAAAGGAGCCCCTTCCTTTCTGAGGCCTCCTACCCAGCCCACCCCTGGGTCCCCGGGGAGGGGACTCCGCAGCCGGAGACCTGAGTCTGAAGTGCCATCTCCATCTCTCCAGCAGACTCTGGGACTTACGGCAAGATCTGGGAGGGCAGCTCCAAGTGCAAAATCGAGCACTTCACCTTCCACAAGGTCCTGGGCAAAGGCAGCTTCGGGAAGGTGAGGGGACAGTGGCCCCGAGGCAGCTCCAGGGACCTGGTCAGGTGGGGCTCTGGTGCCTTGGCCCTGGGCCCGGGCCTGTCCTGCTCAGTAGCCCCACTCGCCCGCCCGCCAGGTGCTGCTTGCGGAGCTGAAGGGCAAAAAGGAGTTCTTTGCCATCAAGGCCCTCAAGAAGGACGTGGTTCTGATCGACGATGACGTGGAGTGCACCATGGTGGAGAAGCGGGTGCTGGCGCTCGCCTGGGAGAACCCCTTCCTCACCCACCTCTACTGCACCTTCCAGACCAAGGTGCGGGGCCTCCCACTGTCACTGCCGCAGGGGCTACCGCTCCCCGCAGCCTCCCACTCAGCCCCTTACAGCAGGGTCGTGTCCCTGCCTCATACTCCCCGGGCAGGGCTGTGTCTCCCCCTCTCACGTCCCCCAGGGCAGTGGCCCTCCCCTTTTCTGTGCCTCCGCTCACCCCCCTTCCCACCCTAGGAGCACCTGTTCTTCGTGATGGAGTTCCTCAATGGGGGGGACCTGATGTACCACATCCAGGACAAAGGCCGCTTTGAGCTGTACCGGGCCATGTAAGTACGGGCCCTGTGGGGGAAGAGCCACTGCCAGTCTGCCCTCTGTTCACTGTTCCCTCTCCCTGGAGAAGCCACACTGGGCTAGAGCTGGGTGGAGAGATTGGGGGTAGCCGGGTCCCACCGTATGGGACACCTGGGTGGTGGGTGAGCTCTGGCTGGGTGCACAGTTCAGACATGCTGGCTCCTGTCCCCTCCTTGGTCCTCAGCCAGGGCAGCCTCACACTCGGTGATCCTGCACGACACAGGAGCTGGTGTGACCCCCAGGCTAGCATGCACCCCCTAACAGTGTGTGTGCGTGCGTACGTGCGCATGCATGTACATACATGTGTACATCAATATAAATGCATAAACTCTTACCACAGAAAATTGTCTTATTTGGAGCATTTCCTTCATAATTTTCTTTCCTGCCTTGGCTGCTAGCCTCCACTTGCCTGATACAAGATGTGCTCGATCAGGCCCAGGTTGTCCATGGAGTTATTTGCAGCATTTCCTGCCCCTGGAGGTGGGGATGAGGGACCGGGGAGAAGCAAGGGCTGGTCAGCAGAAATTCCAGAACACTTTGTCTCTCTCTCATATCCAGGTTTTATGCTGCTGAGATAATCTGTGGACTCCAGTTTCTACACAGCAAGGGGATCATTTATAGGTACGGGTTGATAGGGAGCGGGGGTTTGGGGGTGTGGGGTGTGGGCAGCTTTCAGGAAGGGAAGCTCGAACCCATCATGTCCTCTGTAACGCTCTGAGTGGAGTCGGCCCGGCTATGGCCCCATCTCCACTTGGAGTCAGTGTTTAATTGGGTATTTGCCTAAACCTCCTACTCCATAGCTAGGATTCCTGGTGGCCCCTCAGCTGAGGCTGGCATGGCTCCAGAGGCTGGGAACTCACTGCCCACCCCATACTCGGCCCATTGGCGGGAGCGCGGTACCGAGTGGCACAGTGTCTCCCTCGGTGCAGTCACCTCGGTGCTGAAGCCATCGGAGCACTCTCGGCTTCCACCAATAGGAACTGGTTCCACAAATTCCCACCCAGTGAATACGATCCTATCCGACAGCAGATTACTGTGCATGCATCCACGGCTGAGGCCGCCGGGCCGGTGGCTCAGTGGTGAGAGCACCGGCCCGAGGACAAAAGGGTCCCAGGTTGATTCCCAGTCAAGGGCACGCACGTAACTTGGTTGCAGGTTTGATCCCCGGCCCCAGTCGGGGCACGAGCAGGAGGCAACCAGTCGATGTGTCTCTCGCACACTGGTGTCTCTCTCTGTCTCGGCCATGCTCTGTGCCCTAATGTGGGGTGAAGTCAGGATAGGTTGTCAGGTGGATAGCCAGCCATGGGACAGTATATATTGCGTATTAGGGCTCATGTTTTAAAAGGTGAGGTAAGATGGGTATTATAATGAGCTTTTTAAAAAAATATATGTTTTTATTGATTTCAGAGAGGAAGAGAGAGGGAGAGATAGAAACATCAATGATGAGAGAATCACTGATTGGCTGCCTCCTATATGCCCCCTTTTGGGAATCGAACCCACAACCCGGCCATGTGCCCTTGACTGGAATCGAACCCAGGACCTTTCAGTCCTCAGGCCAACGCTCTATCCACTGAGCCAAACCAGTGAGGGTTTATTATGAGCTTTGGCCATACCTAGACTCACTCTAGGGTGGGCCTGGCCATCGAGATGAGTGGAGGGTGGACTGTATGTGCTGTTCACCTTTTTCTGGTACTTGTCACCATGTGCATAAATTATTCAAACAACAAACTACGTAAAGTAGATACGGTCCCTGCCCTTGTGGAGTCACACAGAGCTGAACCCAGGGCCACTTCCACGGCAACCAGTGAGGCGACCCTGGGCCAGTGACATCGCCTCTCTGAGGTTCATTTGGGGCTGGGAAAGCAGGTCGGCGTGTGCCCAGCCTGTGACACACAGTGGGTGGCTCGCCCAAAGCACCTATTTTGGTGCCTCTTTTTCTCCTGCTGCCTTTTCTCTTCCTCCCGCCCTGGTCCGCGTGGGAAAAGTTCTTACGGGACTGAAAATGGGAGCTGGGTCAGGAGCGGAATTGACTCCTGATGGCCCCTCCCTCTCCTTTCCCCTCAGGGACCTCAAGCTGGACAACGTGATGCTGGACCAGAACGGCCACATCAAGATCGCCGACTTCGGGATGTGCAAAGAGAACATATTCGCGGATAAGAAGGCCAGCACCTTCTGCGGTACCCCTGACTACATCGCCCCCGAGGTGAGCTGGCACCCGCCCAGCCTCCAGCCCAGACACCTCATCTCAACAGGGGGAGCCAGGAGGGCCCCTGAGATGATGATGTCTGCACCAGCCAGGAGGGTGAGGAGGCCTGGCCCGACTCCTGCTCCCACCCCTCAGCTCCCGCACCTTCTCCTGCCCCAGATCCTGCAGGGCCTGAAGTACTCCTTCTCCGTGGACTGGTGGTCCTTCGGAGTCCTGCTCTACGAGATGCTCATTGGCCAGTCCCCCTTCCACGGTGACGATGAGGATGAGCTTTTCGAGTCCATCCGTGTGGACACGCCGCATTATCCCCGCTGGATCACCAAGGAGTCCAAGGATATCCTGGAGAAGGTGGGAGGCCTGGGCGAGGCTGGCTCGGGGCAGGAACCGGTAAATACGGGGTCGTGGGAATGCCAGGATCCTCACTGACGCACCGGTCCTGACGTGTGGGGGGTTGCTCTCTCGTCGCATTCGCCGGAGCTCCTGTCTGAGTAGCCGGCACTGAATCGGCCTGTCATGGTGACTGTGAGTTAGGTCAGGACACAGACAGACCTGAGGCTAAACGCTCAGTCTGTCTCCTTATCTGCACAATGGAGCTATGCAAGAACCCGAGTTGTTGGAAGAAATCATAAATGTGTGATGCTCCGGTCTGTGCCAGGCAGACAGCAAACACTCAGTAAACAGCCCCTGCTTTTACTCAAGTCCCGGCAGCCCCCATCCACAGCCTGTGGTCTTGGGGGGACCTGGGAGCCAGAGACAATACCCTCAGCTCCAGTGGCCTGGGCAGCAGCACTGGGTTGAGCCACCCTGCCGGATGCCCTGGGTCTGCTTGGGTGTGTGCTGAGGGTCCAATTCCTACCGCCTTTGGGTGCTAACTGGGGCCCTTGCTGGGTTGCAGCTGCTTGAAAGAGACCCAGCCAAGAGGCTGGGAGTGACTGGGAACATCAAAACCCACCCCTTCTTCAAGACCATCAACTGGACCCTGTTGGAGAAGCGTCAGGTGGAGCCGCCCTTCAAGCCCAAAGTGGTACGTGACCCAGCTTCCTTCCATAGGGGCCATGTGCTCCGTGTTGCCCGCTGCCTTCAGGGTGGGCACCTCCTTTGCCCTCCTCTCTCCTGTGTCATTCACCTGCTTTCTCCTCCCCCTCCTTCCAGCAAACCTGCTTCCCCGTCCTCCCTGGCACATTCAGTCACAGCCTCTACCCTGATAGCCTCACCCTCTCTCCCCTCACTCAGTCATTCAACAAACACTGGAAACTCTGGATCCAGCCATTCCTTTACCTACATTTTTTAGTGCCGCTGTGTGCAGGGGAATCAGGGTTAAGGCTTCCCTTCCTCCGTCCCTCCATCCATCCAATCCACTTTCCAATCAATACTGGAAACGCTGAGTGCCTGTTGGGTGCAGACTGTGCTGAGCTGCTCAGCAAAGTGGGAGGCCCAGTCCCAGAGCTGGAGGAGGCCCAGCTCCACAGAGATAAGAAACTGGAACACAGATGACCATTCATGATATGACACAACAGGACAAGAGCTAAGAGCTGTTACAAGGCCACACGTGATCAGCTGTCATCAGGCGGGTCTGTCAGCAGGAGCCCAGAATGCATAGAAGGCATGCATCTGAGAGGAAGTGGGACTGTGGGGGTATCTGGGAGGTGTTTCAGGTAGAGGAGGAGTGATTCACACGAAGGCCCCGAAACCGCAGAGGCCACCAAGGAGCCAGCAGCTGGGCCACCAAGGAGAAAGGCTGGGGCCAGAATTCTGAGCACCCTGAGCCCCTCGGGAGTTGGACTCAATGGCCCTTCTCTGGTCACAGTTCCACCTTCCCACTCCTTTTCTCTCTGCCTCCCCTCCTCTGTCAGGACACGCTGTCCTGCTGGACAGCCTGTGTGAGGTGACGTGTCCATTATTGTGCCTGGAGGTCGCAGAGCACTTTTACTGCTCAAACTTGGTGCCTCCTGGGCTGGGCACGTCACTCCCAGGCGAGGCCGGCCGCAGGAGGATCAGCAGCCTGCTCTCAGACCCGCTATGACAGAAAGAGAGACGGGCCTACCGATTTCAGGCGGGGTGCCGATTGGCAGCTCGTCAGTGGAAAGGGTGGGCCTGTGGCAAGTGGCCCAAGCAGGCCTCAGCACCAGGAGAGGATGGGCCCGGAAATGGGCCCAAAAGACCAGAAATCTGGGTTTTTATGTCAAATTGCCCAATTTAAAAATATTGGCTCAAAGGCTATTAAAACCTACTGCTAGTCAAAATGATGTACTCGCTACCAGCTTGGTTTGGCCTGAGGCCACCAGCTTAAGATCTCTGTCACCATTTCACTGTGTCCTCAGAGGCAGAACTGGCGAGCTTTTCCTGTGAACAGCCCCATAGTAAATACTCTAGGCCAGTGGTTGCCAACCGGTGGGCCACCGACCACTGGCGGCCCGTGAGGTCCGAAATGTTGGTGACCGCTGCTCTAGGCTTTGTAGGCCAGATGGTTTCAAAGCAGCCATAGGTGATATGTCGATGGGTGGGTGTGGTCATGTACTAATAAAACTTTATTGCCCAGCCGGTGTGGCTCAGTTGTTGAGCATTGACTCATGTACTAAGAGGTCCCAGATTCGATTCCCATTCAGGGCACATGCCCAGATTGTGGGCTCAATCCCCAGCAGGGGGTGTGCAATAGGCAGCTGATTGATGTTGATGCATCGATGTTTCTCTCTCTCTCCCTCTCCCTTCCTCTCTCTCTCAAATCAATAAAAACATATTTTTTAAAAGCAAAAAGCTTTATGCACATTGACATGTGAATTTCATTTCATTTTCATGTCATGAAATATTATTCTGCTTTTGGTTTTTTCCTAGACATTGAAAAATATAAAAGCCAGTCTGAGCTTGTGTGACTAACACGAGCTGAGAGGTGGCGGACGGGGCCTGGCCCTGGGCTGCGGTTTGCCAGACGCTGCTCAGGACATGCTGCCCTTTCCCGGCCCGGGCGCAGGCTCCCTGCTGGCTTCCCTTGCCCTTGGACACAGCGGCCACTCTGGCTGGGCCTCTCTCAGGCTGGCGGGAAGGACTCCCTTTTCTGGTCCTGCCAAGGACAGCTCTGGCTTGCCCAGCCCGACGGGGTCCGAGGTGTGTGGGAACCTTGGAAGGCTGCCCCTTGGGCCCCGCTCACCCACCCTACCTTGTGCCTACAGAAGTCCCCTGGAGACTACAGCAACTTCGATCAGGACTTCCTGAATGAGAAGCCGCGCCTCTCCTACAGTGACAAGAACCTCATCGACTCCATGGACCAAACAGCATTCTCTGGCTTCTCCTTCATCAATCCCAAATTCGAGAGGCTCTTGGAAAACTGAGGTTCCCAAACACGCCACCCCAACACCCATCCCAGCCAAGGAGCCTGGGTCCATCAGCACTGCCTGCCCACCCAGCCCGGGCAGAGCAGGCTTGGCCCCCCTGCATCAACACCTGTCCTCCCCCCCACCCCGCCCCACCCCAAGCAGCAGTGTGACTGTGGTGAGTTCAGCTGCTGCCTGCCCCCTCACCCCCAGGAGGGCCTTGGCTCCTGTCTGGCTGGGCTCTTAACGGTACTTCTTCTGTGAACTGAGTGTGAATTTGCTTTTCCTCTGCCCTCAGAGGGAAACTGTAAATCCTGTGTTTCATTACTTGAATGTAGTTATCTATTGAAAAAATGTATTATATATATGCATATATATATATACGCACGCACACATATATATAGCAAGCTGTATATATTGCTCAGTAGAGAGAAAAAACTTGGGGTAATGTGTTGACCTTTTAAAATATATATATATGACAAGAAAAAAAAGAGCACAAGCTGTTTGAACCACCAGGCTCTTTTATTTGTGTGTCTAAATAAACACCAAGTGGTACCAACCTGGCTGTGGGGACGTGTTTGTCCCAGGAAGCTGGTGGCAGCCCCTACTTTTGGCTGCTGTGTCCTGGAAGCTAACTGAGCTGGTAGCTGCAGGCACACACCCTGTGCCTTCATGCACATGTGCTTGTATTTATGGGTTCCCCCGGCTCTGGGGCCCTGGGTTCTCGGGTGGCTTACAGAGCCCAGGTGAGTCATGGGGTGACGGGAGGGGGTGCTTGCAGACAGTCTCTCAGGAGGGTGAGGGGTTGATCTGGAAAAGCAGGGAGGTGAAGGCCTGGCCGGAAGGCATGAGCCAAGGCTTAGAGGCTGCCGGACTACAAAGAAGGACAGAGAAGAGAAAGTTAATGCAGCTCAAGCTTCAAGCAGATCTGGATTCAAATTGCAGAACGGCCAAAAGACGTTGGCATGTCAATCATTTTAAGCCTGTTTCCTCATCTGTAAAATGGGGACACGGCCAAGTGATGTTCGATGTAACTCCCATCTCATTACTGTGTATCCCTGTCCTTGCCACAGGGAAGGGGAGGGGAGCAGGGTAGGAGGAAAAGGTGAGAAAATGCCAAGTGGCTGAGAGCCATGCTCCAGGGTCCCCTGGCCTACAGAGTCCCTCCTGCCACCTCCGTGTCTCCCCTCTCCTGCTTCCTACTCCTCTCCACCTCTCTCTCTGCTCCCTCTTTCTGTCCCTGGGGCATAGGCCTTGAGGCAGCATGTTCCCTCTGGGGTCCCCCACCCCGGCCCCTTGGGTCCAGCCCTCAGCCCTTTGTCCTTAGAGATGGGTGAGGTGCCCCCTGTGCCTGATTGGCTGGCCCCAGCTGCAAAGCAGCTGACTTCCAGCAAGTTTGCTTTTCTGGGCTGAGGCACAAGTTTCCACAGCTGGAGAGGAGCAGGATGAATTGGGTTGGTGCTGGCCAGGGGAGGAGACTGAGGATGAGGGAGCCCAATTCTCCCCAGAGATCAAATGTCCCCCTCCCCTCTCCACCCACCACCCTCAGGAAACACGGGTTGAATCCCTGCTGTGCAAAGAGCAATGCAAACCTCAGGGAAGGCAGCATGGCCTGGGCGATGCTGGGACTCGGGGAGCCCAGAGGAGGCCCCTGGAACCCCTGTCCCCTTCCTGTGCTGCGGCACACACAGAACACCCCCCACCCCCCCACACACACTGGGGCTGTCCAGAGAGTTTAGAACAGAAATATGGTGGGTGTTTGCACTCAGAGCCTCTCACCATCCTCCTTGCAGCTCTGAGGCTCCAGTCTCCTCCCGGGAAGAATGGGGAAATAAGTGCTTCATCAGCCAAAGGTAGTGGAGGGTGGTGGGAAGAACATGGTGCCTGGAATCAGGGGCTGGCGGTTTGAGTTCCACTCTGTCACTCACACTCTGTGGAACCTCCATACATTTCTTTCTTTAAAAAAAAAAAAAATCCTCACCCAAGGATATTTTTCCATTGTTTTGTTTTGTTTTGTTTTTTAAGAGAGAGGGAAAGACAGAGAAATACCGATGTGAGATAAACACAGCGATTGGTTGCCTCCTGCATGCTCCAGACCAGGGCCCAGGCCGGGGAGGAGCCTGCAACTGAGGTGTGTACCCTTGACCGGAATCAAACCCAGGACCCTTCAGTCCCCAGCCTGACGCTCTATCCACAAGCCAAACCAGCTAGGGCCTCCATACATTTCTTTACCAGGCCTCAGGTTCCTCATCTGTGAAACAGGATCATTAATCCCTGCCTCCTTGTGGGGCTCCTGGCTCTGGGAGCCCGTCAGGCCTGATGCTGGGTACCCTATGGTTCCTGGCAAAGCCCAGGGAAGGCCAGCAGCCTGGGCTGGGGAAGCAGCTGTCGGGGACCCAGACTAACTGCCTGGGCGGCTCCAGGCCTATTCCCAGAGTTGGGCAGGCGCCAAGCCTGACCGGCTGCCTCAGGAAATGCTTCTCATGGCTTGGCTCAGAGCCACACTTTCACTGGGATCGGAGGCCCGGAAGCAGGCAGGCCTGCCCCACCCCACCTGCCGGGTAGGTACATGGAAGAACAGTGAGCTTGGGCCCCAGCAGGGCTGGTGGGAGCATCCTCCCCACCCCGCCATCTGAAATGTGTGCCAGGCAGAGCAACACGGACATGTCCACCCTGCCAGGGCCTAGCCAGCAGGACTCAGCCCTGACTGTACATTGGAACCCAGTGCCCAGGTGGCACAGGTCTGACAACATGGTGATCTCTGAAGGGGGCCCAGGCATCCGTATTTTTAAATCTCCGGGGAGGGCCCAATCTGCACCAGGATTGGGGACCAGTTGGGGGTGAGACTGGGACTCTGCCTTCTGCCCAGTCTTCCAGGGGAAGCCAAGAAATCCTGCTCTGAGCAGGCCACAGCCTGGAAGGCGAAATCACCGCCCAGGCCCTGTGCTGGGCAGGATGTAACCCGAGGCCCCCTGCCCTAGGCTGACCACGAGCCAAAGAGTGCTGAGAGGGTGTGGGCCGGGCTGCAGCGCCCTCTGGTGGCTGGAGGACGCAGGCCCCGGAGGACTCGCTTTGCGCAGCAGGTATAGTGCTGGGTTTTTCATCTATCTCCTGTCATTAGAGCCTGGGGGGAAATTCCTGCAAGGGACTGCTGGAGGACCATGTTGCAGAGACTCAGAGACACGAGGTGACACATCTAGACGGCTCCCCTAACATTTAAGAGGCTCTCTGGGCTAGTCCGTATCTCAACCCCATTCTCTGGCACTCACCCAACATTATAGTCGCACTTCCTTAATCTATTCTTTCTTAAGGTGGGAATAACTGATATGAGCTGGGAGGTCCCTGTTTTCTGCTGGCTTTAATAGCAGGAAATAAGGGGGTGTGCAGCATTTGCCATGGTGGGAGGGGCTCGGGGCTTCAGGACTCGCACTAATGGCCTTGGCCTCACTCCTGCGGGCTGGGGGTTTATACTTCTGCAGCCCAGCAGGCACCTGCCTCCTCCTCCTCCTCCTCCTCTTCCTCTTCCTCCTCCTCCTCCTCCTCCTCCTCCTCCTCCTCCTCGGGCCCCCTCCTGCATCCTGACTGAGCCCAGCAGGTGACCTCAGATAGGGCCCTGTGTGAGGCCAGAGGCTGTTGGGCGGGTTTTGGTTTCTCTGAGTCCTGACCACCCTCCCAGGAACCTCATCTCCTTCTGGCTGGGGAGGGGGGAGATGCACACAACTGAAAACACGGAACTTGGTAGCAAAGAAGGGGAAGGGGGCAGAGAAAGTCTCCCAAATGTGTGAGCCAGGCCTGAGTCATGAGGTTTGGGGCCCTGAGGCCCTCCCTGGGTCTTTCACGTGATGGCATTCAACGCTCACTAGCTGTAGCCTCAGCAAGTTAGGTCTTTGGATGTTTAATATGGCCCCTGAATCAGGCTTCCTAAGGGCCTTGGAAGACCCCAGCCTCTCTTTTCCTGCCTGAAATGCATGCCCCGAAGGCCCTCCTAGTTGTTGCCCAGGAGCTGTTTTTCCTTTTCCTTCTGAGAGGGGCGTTGGGCTTTCTGTTGGTTTCACCTGTGGGGGCAGACGTGCAGGCGGTGGGCGGTGGGCGGTGGGCAGGGCAGCCGTGCTGGGCTCTGTTCCGAACTCATGCATTCCTTCGTGCACAAGGGCCTGCTCGGCGCCAGGGGGGCAAACTTCTGTGGAGTGTGCAGACCTGCAGGGCGAGGACGCCAGGCCAGGACTCTGGCTTCTTCCGGGGGAAGAGAGCAGGGGACGGGGGTGCAGAAAAGGCCTGGGGCTCCCTCTGGAATGTTTTGCCGCTTGGACAAACTCTGAAGAAGGCAAGGGAAACCATGAGAGGCTCCTAGGCTCCGTGGAGGGTTCTGGATGCTTGTTTCCATCTCTGTGCTTTATGGCCAAAACGTTTCATAACTTTTAAAAGGTGCTTTTTAAAGAGCAAGTAGGCGTTCTGCCTCTTGACCTAACTGCTGGGTACCTGGCACCCCTTTAAAATGCTTTGTTGTCCTGTCCATTGTTCTATGTGCTTTCTCTATGGAGGTGGCATTTCACAGTTTTTGAAAGTTAAAAGGAATGAGTAGGCGAGAGGCTGGGGTCAGGGAAGCGACCCAGGCAGAGGAAGGAGCAGGAGCCAAGGCCTGGGAGCCCGGCGGAGCCCAGAGTGGGAGCCCAGGGATGTGGTTCCCCAGGGCAGCCCTGCTCTCAGCCCTGGCCTGCCTGGGGTCAGGGGTCAGGGGTCAGGGGTCAGGCTCTGTGCTCCCCTCCTGTCCGAGGCCCAGGTGAGGCTGGTAGAACGTGAGTTCTCGCAGGAAGTGAGGTATGGGCTTAGTCAGCGTCTGGCTTGCGGCCTGCAGGTGCGGGTAGTTAGAGCCTGGCATTTCTTGTTGGAAGCAGCGGGGGAGGGGGGGGGGGGGGCGGCTGCGCTGATGGGGGAACGCAAGGCAGCAGCAGTGTGGCCCGGACAACAGGCTGGAAGGAGAGAGGGAGTGGCCTGCGCCCGGCCAGGCACAGAGGGAGCTGCCGGCAGGCTTCCCCGGGCTTTTGAAGACGGGGGAGGCACAGCATGGGCAAGGGGGTGGGAAAGTTGCGTTTTTCTGGGACAAGCCCAAAACAAGCTTCCGGAAGTTGTTCCTAAAGCCATCCGGCGTGCTTTCTGCATCAGCCGTGGGAAGTCGTCCTCCGTGGGCGCTGTGCGGGCCCAGGGAAGGCGGGACCCGACGTCAGGGGAGAGGCGGAGTGAGTCATCCCACAAGTGATCTTGTTAAGAAAACTCTTAGACGTGAAGCAAAGCATAGACCGGTGCTGCCCGGGCTAAGGAGTGAGACCTTAGCGATCAGCGTGCCACCCTCCGTGCCCCTCCCCAACACACAGCCCTGATTTCCTCTGTGTTTTTCCGGAGAGAACCAGCCCTGGCGTGGGGAGCATTCCTCTGCACCCAGGCCAGAGGCCCCTGAACATATCTAGGACTTGGGTTGCACGTTTTAAGCCTCTTGTAAACAGGTGTCTGTTCTCAGGGAATCCTTCTGCCTCCAGATTTCCTCCTGGAATGCTTTTGTTT